CTTCACCTACCAAAGGCGGTCAACATAAATATATGTATAACTCACGCAGTTGTGGTGGACACTTGCCGTGGGTTATACCGCGGAACAACAACATGCGCAACAACAACAACAATTATTTTTGACTCGTCACGGGTCCCGCTGGGTCGCAATTTCGGTACTACATTTAGCATGTTCTAATTTACAAGCGAGCGACGAATATCGAGAACTGAAAGGAGGCCCAACATCAGCGCCAAATGTAAGCCAATCACGTATCGGGGCGGTGGGGGAGCAAGGTGTGCCAGTGGGGTTACGGGGGGGTGCGCGTTACGTGCTTGTAAATTCAAATTTCATTTTTGGGCCGATCGGAACGGCGGGTCTCTTGGTCTCTTGGTCAGTTCGGCTTGTTTTCGTGGTTCATTGAGCCGCGTTCCGCGCATAAATTAATGAATTATGAAAAGGAGCTGGTTCTCAGGGGTGCGGAGACGCACTGGAGGGGTTGAGGTAACAGGAGACCGCACACAATGTTCAACATGGTTTATTAATTCAATTTGTGCCTAAATTAACGTGTAAGTGCTTAAATATTGAGTTACCGGCAGCGTCACATCAACCGGACTCAAACTTCACTTCCTCCAACTGCTTCTTCTTTCCCTTTTTTTTGCGTGTGCCAATGCCATTGACTTCTTCAATCCTGTTCTTGCTCCTCCTGATTTAAATATGTGTCTTGGATATTAAATGTAGATTATCGCTATGCTGTTGCAATAAAAACTGCATAAGCTTATTCGCAGAGAAAACTAAAACGGCAAAACAGTATGGAACAGTGGAACGCGGAACGGAAATAGTTTTTTCTTGAGATTACGCAACACCGAAACAAGCATCAATGAGATGTGAAACACTGCAATTATTTGCATTAGGATACGACTGCATGAGATATAACTTGTTGGTATATGGAATATTGTGAAATGAAAAATTATGACAGCTAAAAAGCGAAAGAGGAAAACGCGCAGTGGCACATCGAAGTTAATTTTGGAACAGCTGAAGTTGAAATGCAGCGTATTGTTTTTTCAGACTGTCGGCTTTGTTGGTAATATCAATCAAACATTGGCAGGTCGTTCGCAGGCTTGTTAAGCCACCGGCTGGCGACAATATGGATCCACCTTATCACATCGACGCATGGACGCTATCGTTGGCACATCTGGCATAGAAATTTCAGCGCTAGTTAAGCCCGCTAAGACACCCCCATAAGCTGTGACTAATTGGCGAGGAAATCGATGGTCGATAAAAAGGCGCTCTTAACTTTAATTTATGGCGCCTAACAGAAACTGATTCGCATTTTGGTCATGCAATTGATGTTGGCATAAATTTGCACAAATTTAACTATTATTTAGCAAATATTATTAATCGACCACTTAACGCATTCTGAATGTGCGATTCATGCTACAACACTGCAAAATTGTAACGTGTATTTGTTGCTCTTGTATTTGTTTTCTTTTTTTTGTCTTTAGTGTTGGCGTTGTTGTCGCTTTATTTAGTTTGCTTGGCGATTCGAAATTCGTATTGAAACAACAAGCATTTTGTCTAGACTGCCATGTTCAATTTGGCCTTAAATTAAAATTTTGGGTTTTGAGGTCTCCTAAACGCAACACGCAAGCCAAAACCTTTTTGTTTTCGATTATGATTAAACTCTCGAGTTTATTGAAGTCGACCGAATAACAAATAGTCACACCTATTTTATGCCTACCAAATCTTCTCTATTTAATTGTTCTGGCATTGTTATTAGTCGTTCGCACAGCTGTTCTTTCGCGCTGCATCAGACTGTGTTATGTTTAAATTCGGCTTAAAAGCTACCCCAATAAAAATTATCCTTGTTGCAGGCAGCAAATGCTTCGATATTTACCAAATCTTTTCAGAAAATTTGTTTATTTTAAATCAGCTGATATTTTTTTTAAATATTTGCTAATTCATATATTGAAAACAAATCTCTTTACATAAACATGGTTTTCCTGGCCCTTCTTCCAAGCAAACATGTGTATGGAATGAATTTAATTTTGGTCCGATTGCCTTCAAAGTTATTTTTAATCTTGATGCAAAGAATTTATTGTGTAATGCCAGCGAGTAATCTAGACATGCCACATATATATAACCTATTATAAATTTGTTTTGCCGGGCTGTTAGCCATTATTTGAGTTTGCCATTAGTTGGTATCGCTTGGCCACGATTTAATTATCTAGTTAGCGCCATGTTTATGTTGCGCTATCTTGCGACAGGCGGCAACCCTGACATCTGCCAAGCCCACCCAAAAACCCAAAAAAACCAAGAAGCGGGCGACACTCACTTAGCATTTGATTCATGGACCTCTACCGTGCCAGCCAATCAGCAAATCATTAACAACTAATTAAATTATATAAAACAGTCATTAATTAAGCGTCAAATGCGCCAAGGCGGTGCAGAACGACGGCTACTTGGATTCTATGGACTCCATAGAGTTGCCTTTCACTTTGCCAGCAGCTACTACACAGGCTGAACGGAACGGAACGCAACGAAGCAGAATGAACCGATTGCAAATAACGACAAGAACTTTGCGCTAAACTTTTGCACTTTGACATCGGCTGGCAACCCGGTTGGCCCCACCAGGTGCAGCACTGCACCCAAAATTGGCACGCTTTATGCGGCGGCAGTTGTAAATACATATTTAATAACTACATTAATAACAGCAGCAATGACAATGACAACAACAGCAGCAACAGCAACTAGCAACAACTATAATAACACGCGCTCTTTGGTGATTGCAATTTGCCAAGCAATAAAAACTACCGTTTTGGCCACGTTTGCCAATGGTATGAATTGAATGAATGTCATTAATTTGACAACAGCAACCGTTAAATCAGCAATTCAATCACCAGCACCACAGCAACAGCACCACAACAACAACAACAACAACAACAACAACAGCAGCAGCAGCAGGCGAGTGGCGACAAAAGAAACGGTTCTCGATTCTCGGTTTGGTGGTTCGGTTTTGGTCTCGCGGCGTGAGTCTTAAATTACCAACCTTGCCACAATTTTCAATGCGCATTCGCATTCGAATTTGTTTGCAGTAATTGGCCGGCAAAGCTGAGAAGCCGGCTACGACTGACGACTGTTGCTGCTGCCACCGCACCCATCAGCAACAGTTGCTGTGACTGCTGTTGCTGCTGCTGCTGCTGCTGCACCACCCAAGCATTCATCGTTCGCCTTTTGCCTTTCAACTTCAGTTACAGGTGTCTCTCTCCTGATCGTCTGGGGTTTGGTACACTACCAAGTTGTTGCCGTGTCAATGACAGTTCAATGTGCTCGCGATTTGTTGCTGTTGTTATTGTTGCTGTTTGTTGTGCGCTGGCAACAGTTGTCGCACATGCAAATCGTGACTGTTGCCCAACCGACGTCCATCACAAGTTGCCAAACAAACTTGCCAGTCAGTCAAGACAGTCAGTTGGTCTCATGCCACGTTTGTGCAGTGCACCATATAACGAAATGTTAAAAGTTGGTTTATAGCTTCAAAATATTTCGTAGAAACGTTTATTCTATAAACATTTTAATGATACAGACACTAAGTCGCTTACGAAGATAGAATTGCAAAAATTAGATGGCTCTATTAGAAAGTCAATATAAAATTTGGTATATCCTTGTCCTTTAGCTGTCGTCAATTTCTCAGTCAGTAAATCACTTAAGAACGGAAAACAAAGAGGATTAGCTCTAAGCTGAGACTTTGAGAATAATTGAAACAAACATGTGAAGCTCGTTTTCAAAAGCTTCCTATCCTTCGCTGCTACCCACTTTTCGCCTTCTCCACTTCTATTCTATCATTGGCTATTAGATATTTATCTGATATTTATAAATCTATTAGGATATCAACGCATTTTATGCCTGCATTTCCTGATCTGCACAGCGTATAAACGCACTTACAGACTGTTCCAGTTAATCAGTTAGTGGCTGGCTTTTTTCTTGCCTTGATTTTTTTTGGTAGTTGAAATGCGAGTGATTTGCTTAAGACATTTTGATTGATTATTTTTGTTTGCTTTTTTTATTCCGAGCGACGACAAAACTGCGAATGCGCACCTCCTAGCCTCAATGCCTGCGCCTTCCATTTGGTGGCAACGCTTCCTCGAGTCTTACTCGTCCGTGTTGGCCACCAGAGCTGGCTTCGCGTTTGGCCAAGTCATGGGCACAAAAGTCGCTCGCTTTTATTAATTATTTTGACCCAGAAATCGCTGTTGTTTCGATTTGTGTGTTAAGTATTAGGTATCGGAATTGAGTCTCTGGCCACGGATCTGACATAGTCGGCGGATCTGGCTTGGGGATCGGCGCGCGTTTGTTGTCAGTTAAATTTACCACCTGTGATGAATAACGTTACATTTTGTTGATTGTTTTCTTTTGTTATTGTTGTGTTGCTTAACGTGATTAATCGCATTTATGCAGTACCAGCGGAATCTGGCATCAGAATCGTATTTAACGTAACGTAACATTCGCCCGGCCATGCCCACATAAAGTTGATTACTCAGGTGTCTGAGTGCGTGCTGCTCTCCCTGTCTCGCTCTTTCTCTCGTTTGCTGTATCTTGCCTTGTCTTTATTTATATATGGGGGCCGTGTACCGTTAATTAATTTGCAAGTTGTTTTTTGTTTGTTGTTGTATTGAATTTGTTTACTAATGCCCTAGTGCATGGCTTTGGGGTCAGGTAGAGTTTATTTTAATACAGTCTATGCCATTCATTAAATCGGGAAAACGTAAAAATTTTGAGCGTTGATTCTTGTTACCTTTGATTTGGAAGGAACCAGCCAACATATTCTCTATATATTTTAAAAATTGCTTGTTCTGGCTGACTGATCAACGCTCCAGCCGTAAAGGTTTGACTATATTTACATTATGAATGGAGATACTTGGAAATTACCAATCAAAATTCACAATGGCGTTTATAATATATTGCCGGACAAAGCAGGATCATTATCCAGCGGTTATTACCGCTGGTATATATATATATATATAACGTATTCTTACAATAAATTTCATTAGTTGGTTAATAAAAATTTGAAAATGCATATGCAACAATGACAACTAATATCAGTTATTACAACTTATGCTGGAATCTAAAGTCATTTATCATCTAAAAATTGAGCTCAAAATTAGATTTAAATGTGTCCCATATACAATTGGCTGTTTGTCACTTCTTTGGCTTGTTGGCCAAATGCAGCTTGGATATGTTTGGACTGGTCCTGGGCGGAGTTCTCAAGTTAGGCGTGCTTGGCTCGATGGTCACTCTGGATGATGGCGGAGCACGGGGTAGTTGAAAGGAGGTTGAAGGGAGTTGCTGTGATGGAGACTTCGAAGGCGTCGATTCCGGGCCGTCGGTCGACTCCTTCCTCCTGTGGCGATTATAGATCGGCGAGCTGTGCAGCTCTTGCGTAATCTCTGCCGCCGTGGGCATAATGGCTGGTGGCTCACGGCGCATGCGGGGCGATGGCGCAACCGGATTAACGCCATGGGAACTGATACTGCGGCTAAGCGCTTCCGCTTGCCGCTGTGTCTCCAGATTGGCATCGCGCATCAGTGTGGAAATACGTTCTCGATTGGCGCGCTCTTGAGCCAATTGATTGCGCTGGTGACGGCGTATCTGCTCAAACTCCTGCCAGAAGGTTTGGGTAATTTGGCGCGAATTGCGATGCAGCTCGCGACGCAAAGCTTGCACCACATGCGCATCCCGAGGCAATTCATTTTTGAGAGGTCGTCTGGACATGGTTTTTGATTTTTGTTGAAATTTTGAAGTGACGAATAGAACAAGAATTGGAAATCAGACACAGTATTTTATAGTATATACTATGTAACTTGTACTATGTAGCCATAACGTGTGTGTCTGTGGCAATTTGATCGATGCGAGTTTTCTAATTGCGCCGCCAACTTTCTTCTTAATTGTGGCGAGAAAAATGAGGCCCGTATCGAAATGGCATGAAAAGCACAGCAACAAGAACAACAGCATATCAAACAACAACAGACGTCACTCGCGGAGAGCGAGAGAAATTGTTTTCAATATATTTCGTATGTAAAATGAATATTTGTTCTGTTGTATGTGCGGTCAATCAATCATGTGATAGAAGCTTAAATACTTGGCCCAATTGGGCCTTGGCCAAACAATGGGCCAACGTTTGTCTTTCGATGTAATCGCAGCCGTAGAGAGGCAGTGGAGGCCTCTCCACTCCATTTAACCGAAATGAAAACAAAATTGCCAGCAGCGCCGCCTCCTTTTTGTTTCCTGGCCAAGACACCCCGCTGTGCACTTGTCGAAGCCAAAAGTTCAACGATTGCCGCCGACTGTTTTAAATGCGGCTACCTAACCGAGGCGCAATCGAAGGCGCAGGCACAAGCCGAACTCGAATTCGAATTGGAACCGACTACGCGACTTGAGAGTCACAATTTATCCTTTATGGCTTTTGTTTCTGCAGAAGTGAAAACAAAAGATTGTCATCGAGACCAGAGACTCAAGTATTTTTTGCTGTTGTTGTTGCTGTTTTTTTTTGCCGTTTTGCATAAGATCAGCAGCTCCTTGATAGTATTTATATACATGTATATACCAATATATATGATATGACTGATCGCCCTAATTGGGTGAAAGTGCTTAGAAAGTGTGACAGTGGTCGAAAGCGCTCTCATCAATACGATACCCCCTGTCAAATCAGTATCTATGGCCTTTACCTATACCTGTAGCTATATAACATACATCACCCGCATATATAGGCATCGTCAGCAATCAGCTAGCAAAACGACTACAAAGCCCCCGTCTGTCCGTCCATTCGTCCATCTGTCTGTGAGATATTCCCAGGCCAGACCGGGCAACAAAACTAGAACTCAAAATCATACATCACAAGCAATTACCGGCTAAAATGCGGCAGAGTAAGCTTCGACAACGACTAAGGCAGCGACTAACCTTGGCCGCTAGTGAGGAGAAGAAAAAAAAACGAATAAATACAAATATATATAGAAATATATATATTTATATAAAAGAGTAGGCTGCTGTTATTATTGTTGTTGTTAATACACTGCGAAAGGTGCCGGGCATATCGACAAGCATTAAATTGTAGAAGTAAATTTTTGTAGGTTTTTTTTTGGAGCTAACCTTTAGGAAGCGGAACAATGAACAATGAGTGAATAAATATATAATAATAATTTTATAATTGACAATTTTTTTTTTTGTAATAAGAAAAAAAATTAAAAAATCGAATAAAATTATATGGCAAGAATGCGCACTCCTTTCGATTTTGCAGTATTTTCAGTTTGTTGCCCAAGTCTTTTATTTTATAGCACTTGCATTTCGTGTGAAAACGTTTCGTTAAATAAATATTCCTTAAATAAAAATGTCAATCACTTATTAAGTGTTAAATATAAAAACATTTTATTTGAATAGAATAAGTATTTCTAGACCTATTCATCATTAGGAAAAGTATCAAAGAGTGAGAGTATTCCGAATCTTTAAACAAATATTCGCGTATTTAACTTGAAAAAAACTGCATAAAATTACAGCAAATGTTTTGAGAACTTTATCTTTGAATTCGCCAAATACTTTTTCATAGAGTATCCCACGTAGCATTTCGACTGCAGCCTTTGCAACTTGTTGCTGTTCTGTTGGGATGTTGTGTATGCCGCGCATGCATCATCATACCATCATCCCATTATCACATACCACAAGCCAAGCCATGGCCAGGCAAGGCAAGACTACCTTGTAGTGCTGGTGTTGGTGGTGCTGGTGGTGGTGCTGCTGCTCCTCCTTTGGCTGACCGACTGCGGCACTTGAATGCTCGGCATGAAATAAATCGCGTGTTTATTGTGCCAACGGCGATCGCTTCAATGTTGCACATGAAAATTGAACGCAATAGAATGCCACTAATCGATCGGCCCGAGCTGAGCTCTCTCGGATGCCGCCAGCCACAAAATGAAATGTTTCAAGTTCAAATGCAAGGTGCGGAGCTGGCCGAGAGAAGGAGTGCCAGACAGATTGGACGGCCTGCCGGACATCAGTTGGTGGAGACTGGCGCAAGCAATCTCAAAATAATCTAAACGATTTGGCGAAAATCACGTTGCCGTCGCCGTCGCCATCGCCATCGTCGTCGTCGTCGTCGTCGTCATCGCCGTCGCGGCAGCGGGAGCGGCATCCACCTGTTACGCCGAGCTCATTTTTAATGCCTGCCTCCTCTGCCCCCACGATGAGATGAAGGCCAAGGCGGGTCTGGAGCAACTGCGACGGCGGCATTGAGAGCAAATTGCAAAAGCCAAATTCAACGAATGCCGGCACACAGTTTGGCATTAATAATGAAGCGCAATCAACTGACGGCCGCCGGCCGTTGGATGGCTCCAACTGACTGCTTGACGGGCCGACTGGCCGGCTGGCTGACTAACTGACTGACTGTATGGCCAGGTGAGGGTGCCTTGATATGTGGCATTGGCATTGGCATTGCACAGATTAAACATTTTTCCAACACAATGCATAATTTCTCGCTGCTGGGCTCGTTATGTTGCACTATGTGGATGCTGTTGATGTTCTTGTTGTTGCTGCTTTTGGTCGATTGGTGTTATTCTAAACGGCTTTTAGACAAAGCATCAGTCCAGTCGCTGCCCATTGCCCACTGCCCGCTGCTCACGCTGCCAATCAATCAATCACGCCGAGAGCTGAACCGAGTCGCCTAGTCATCTGAGCATCTGCCGACGCCATCAACGTACCCGGAGCGCGCTCTCTGGTCAAGTGTAATGGTTTTGTCATGATGCAGCATTTAAGCTGCCGCCGCTGATTGATGCGGCGTTCGTTCCACAAGAGAGTGCCAGTTAGGAATTTCACACCATCAACACCAACATCGCCATGGCCATGGCCACCAGTGCACCAGCAGACTATGGAAATTTTGTGAGTCGCTGTCTGTCAGTCCGTTTTTCTGTACATTCAGTTATCTATTAGTTCCATATTTGAGTTTGTCGCTTAAGTCTTTCATATGACTGCAATTGATAATCGACTGAATACAATGGTCGGACTTAATTCAAGTCCATTTTAAGCGGTTTTTAATGGATAATATAAAAATTAAATAAACAATAAATCTTGTTCCGAGACCGTGTCAAAGCTAAATCGACCTCCTTGCCGTATGCCTCTTTATTTTAAGTTTCTCAAACATTAGTTCCTCATGACAATTTGTTTCCATTCTACATTTCGATCACGCTGGTTTATTAATATATTTCCGCCATACAGGCTGTTAACGTGGCATTTGCATATTACAATTAGTGCTCGATTCCGACCCGAAAGGAAAGGCTTCTGTAGCTCCTTCGGGTTGGAATATGAATGGGGCATCGTTTAGTAAGTCTTTCATAAGGATAGGACAAGCATATACAAATATATTTTTTTGTGTTTGATATATTTTACCATAAATCGTTGTACTCTATTTTTTATGGAGGCCACATACTTGATTTGCATAACCTTTTTTTTTTACAACGTATTGACATCAAGCCGAAATAACGAATGCCACCTGCAGGGCGGCATATCAAATCAGCGAAATCAAAGCGCAATTAATTGACGACAATTGTGTGGCAAGTGGCCAAATTGTGTGGCAACATCAGAATTGGCCACAACGGCAATTGAAACAAATGTAACAACGGCAAACGTCAATTGTCTAATCAACAAATTTAGTCAATAAATCGTAATTAATTAACGTTTGCCGCTGCGCTTTGGTGGCAGTTGCAGCTTAGTTCAGCAGTTGCAGTTGAAAGAGCGTTTAATTTTTGCAAAAAATTCAAATGTGTGGCAAATGCAACAGCAACAACTATAACAGAATACACAAACAAAACCCAAAAACGCGAGCAAATATTCGTGAATTGCGACTAATTTTTAGTGCAGCGAAAAACTTTAACAAAAATATTGGTAACAGCTAATCAGGCGCATATACGCCCAGAAAAAAGAGGTGTGCCTGGCAGGTGGTCATAGTGTGCAAATGTTGTTGTTTTCGTTGTTGTTGTTGTTTTTGTTGTTGATAACATCGTTGCAATGTGTTTCTTGTCAAAAAATTGACTTGCAATCCACGAACTAACTTTTCTATCCCAATGCAATCAAAAGACTTAGGCAACGAACTTGCCGCCTGCTGCTGTTTTTGAAAGTTAAAAATGATTTCGAGCCTGTCAGCAGTTAGAACTAGACGCGATTTGTAAATTCGTGCCCTGCACCGTCAAAGTTGCTTGATATACCCTGCATCCAGTTAAAGTGCATTAAACGTAGTAAAAATCTTGGCAATTTAAGATTGCGACTTCTGCGACCCTAATAAAAGCTTCAGAATGTACCACGAATGAGAAATATTTTTGAGTCCTTATGTCTTTTTGTCTTATCATATCTTGTATTTGGCGCATTTAATGAATAATAAACATATTTACGAAATTAACATTCATGCAAATTGGTTGGATAGCCATTTTGAGCTCGAAGGAGTGACTGACTCAGCTATTTCCGTTGAACGAGCCATGGCTCATCATGAGCTGCTGCCTTGACTTATATCATATTCTGCAATTAGCTGTAAAGAACTTTTAATTAATAATGCTTAATGCTCAATGGTTAATGCCTAATGCTTAATGCTCATGATATATGTGTGTACTGACATCGAACTCTACTGTGGCCAGATCAAAGGCGCCTTAAACCGCAGCCGCAACTTGGCAGTTAATCAAATTAATTGCTAAGAAAATCAACATGTTGATTTGAACCGTCGAAAAAAATACAAAATAAAAAGAAAAGAAACAGGCAACTCAAAATCTCGAATCACAATCGAAATCAAGAGGCAAACAATGACAAATAACGAATTATGGAATAGATATGAGTATTATATGCATATTCAAGGCCCTCCTAGTT